TTTAAAGACCTGGATATGAGGGGCTGGATAACATCTGCTATTACATGGTGAAATCTAGTTGTTAATGACCAATGGTTTTGGCTCGGCAGCTTTAATGTAACTGGGAGCTTCTTGAGGAACCCTGGGTAGAATCCTGGTAGGTAAAACAATAATAGCGCCAGTATAATAGTCTTTGGAATAATAAAAGGAAACAACGTAAACAATGAAATAAAACATCCAGCGCGTTTCAAGGTTAAGAACAATCTGCCTTCATCGGCGCTTTATGGGCTGTTTGTGCATAGATGGTTGTACTTATTAAAGGTGAATTTGCTGGCTATACTGTGTATAATTATAGTTTTTTCTTCCATGTCATCATATGCATGAATTCAATTACTTTCATTTAAAAATCTAAAGACTAGAGGTGTGGCCCCATCATAATTAAAATTTGTAACTGTATACATCCAGGGGAGGACAGGGAAACTTTGGTCTGGGAGGCCAATACAACCAACTGTGGGTCCCGCTCTGAGTGAGGGGATACTCTCAGGGACACCAGCCCAACATGTATTATTTGTACTGGAAGGGTAAGGGTTTAAATTCCTCTTGCCCCTCCAGTCCAGACCTCCCTGTATATTTTTTTATTACTGCATTATTTGTTTTGAGTAATATTTTCAAGAAAACACAAAAAGATAACCAAGGATTTATAAGGCGCTCCATACCCCCTCCCCCCCCCACCAAAAATATAGAATATGTCCGTATTATTATTCCAAATATGCTCATTTTGGTTGGCATTTTAATCTTTTTATATCCTATTACTTTTCCTAAATGGAACCCATCATTGTTTTGTGTGTGTTTGGTCATTTCTCGAGATTCATTTAAATGGTTTTTTTATTATGTGTTTTAAGCCTTTTGACAGCCAAGGATGTCATATCCCAGCAATCATAGGGTTAAAAGCAGTAGCAACCAATTTTCCTCTTTATTATAGGAGTTATTCAGGCGAACCGAAAGCCAACTAATCAGTTCTGCAAATCATCAAAGGAGCATCTTGTAGGAAAAATGCGCTAACAAGAACATTTCTGGTTGCCCATTGCAACCAATCAGAATAATTGTTTTATTTTCAGCTCTGTAGAAATTACAGTTTGTAGCTGATTTGTAGGCAGAAAGAAAAGTTCTTTAAATTTGCATTTTTATATAAGATCAAAATGGTTGCAGTGATCACTTGGATCTTTGTGAGCCGGGGAATTGAAGATGGCTAGCAGTATAAAATTGGTGAGAACCTTTGTATTGAATGAACCTGGTTGTACTCATAGTGCCATGGAAGGGAAACTATAATGCTTCATAATAATGTTATAATTCTTCTTGCTATATTGTTTAATATGTATATATTATTTTGTTAGTACAAACATTAATTATAGCACTAACAATTTACATAGCACTATACATTGTGCACATTCACCTCAGTCCCTGCCCTCAAGGAGTTTACAATCTAAGGTCCCTATCTCACATACAAGGACCAGTTTATACAGGAGCCAATTAACCTACCAGCATGTTTTTGGAGTGTGGGAGGAAACCCACGCAAGCACAGAGAGAATGTGCAAACTCCTTGTAGATAGTGACTTGGCTGGGATTTGAACCAGGAACCCCCAGTGCTACAAGGCACTGAAAGCAGAAGCACTGTATGACCAAATGTTCCCACTGCAATGTGAATTAGCTAAAGAGACAGTATAGCAGACGCTGCTCGCTTTGCAGCTCCTTTGGACTCATTGAAACTTACTTGCGCATCAGGGATGAGTCACTGCTCTGATACAAAAAGCTTCCTTCAGCATCAACAAAGACACAACGCTAAACATGAAAAAGAGACTAAAGCTCACCCCGGTAGCTATACATCCAATATTTTTTTATATTTAGCTGACATAAAAAGAAAATTTCTAATTGAGTGCTATGTATTATTCTCAGGTTCCAGACTCTTTCAGACTGAATCTGAGAAACAGTGCAAAGTGCAATACCCACCACATCCATACATAACCCATCTCATTCTGGTCTTACTTAAGTTAATTCTGGTTGGTTGCTACAGGTTGCTGCGTTTTGCATGTCATGCTTTGCCTCTTGCACTACCTATTAAATATTCTTGTTTGACTTTTAAAATAAAGTCCCTAGTGTACAGTCTCTAAAATGTATGTATCCCCTTGGCATTTTTCATGGTTTATTGTCATAGAACATTAACTCACAGTGGATTTATTTATTTATTACCATGATCAACAAAAAATATTTTATTTCCTTTAAAAGTGAAAATGGATCTCTGCAAAGTGATGTAAAGCCCAACTCCTGTTTTGTTTTGGGTAGACCAGGGAAGGGTTAGGGCCTTAGGCAGCACAGTGGTGTAGTGGTGAGTGCTTCTGCCTTGCAGCACTGGGGGTCCACCAGTTTAAATCCCAGCCAGGTCACTGCCTGCAAAGAGTTTGCCTGCTCTCCCTGTGCTTGCAGGGGTTTCCTCCCACACCCTAAATACATGCTGGCAGTGGTAGGTTAATTGGCTCCTGTCTAAATTGACCCTTGTGTATATGCATGTGTGATAGGGACCTTCAACTGATCCCTTAAGGGCAGGGACTAATGTGAATGTGCACTGTAAAATGTAAAACATTGCATAAATTGTCAGCGCTATATCAATAATAAATAAATAGGTGGCCATCTGATTCCCTACTGGGGAGAGTGTCTGTCAGAACAGGAAGTGAGGGGAAAACTCCTTAGCAGGTACACAGAAACAAAAACCCAAGTAAAGAGGGCTTTGCACTTCTGGTAATATTTTTATTGCTGTATATGACATCATCCCATTATTTTATGGGCAGCACAGAGACGAGAAGTGGTGGCAGATCTCCATAGTGGGGCACAGCCTAAAAGCCTACCCAAATGAAGGTAAACAATGTTACTAATGATACCCAAAAAGCACTTGCATAAAAAGATCTGCTTTATTTGTTAAATTAATTCAGAAACAATTCTTTCACTTTCCCCCCACCTGCCTAATATTGAGTAGGTCCCCATTTTGCCACCACAAAAACCCTGACCTGTCAAGGCACGGATTCCACTAGACCTCCGAAGGTATGCTGTGGTATGTGGCACCAAGCCATCAGTAACAGATCCTTTAAGTCCTGTAAGTTACAAGTTGGGGCCACCATGGATTGGACTTGTTTTTTCAGCAGATCCCAAAGATGCTCAATTGGATTGAGATCTGGAGAATTTGAGGCTAAGTCAACACCTCAAAGTCATTGTTGTGTTCCTCAAACCGTTCTTGAACCATTTTGTCAGTGTGGCAAGGCGCATTATCCTGCAGAAAGAGGCCACTGCCATCAGCGAATACCATTTCCATGAAGTGGTGCACTTGGTCAGTATCAATGTTTAGGTATGTGGTGTGTGTCAAAGTAACATCCACATGAGTGGCAGGACCCAGCAGACAGCCCCATAAGCAATAATATGCGATGCACTGTGTTCAGTCATCTTTCTATCAAAACATTACATTTTCCAGCAATTTGAGCTACAGTACCTCTTCTTTTGGATCCAACTACAGGGGCCAGCCTTCGCTCCCCATGTGCATCAATGAGCCTTGGCTGCCCATCACCCAGTCACCAGTTCACTGGATTTCCTTCCTTGGACCTCTTTTGGTAGGTCCTGAACACTGCAGACTGGGAACATCCCACAAGACCTGCAAGACCGGGAACATCAAGTGCTGCAATTTTTGAATTGCTCTGACCCAGTCGTTTAGCCATCACAATTTGGCCCTTGTAAAGTTGCTCAAATCCTTACCCATTGTTTTTGCTTCCAAAACATTAACTTCAAGGACAAAATGTTCACTTGCTGCCTAATATATCCCACCCACTTCCAGGTGCCATTGTAAGCCGATAATCAATGTTATTCACTTCACCTCCTATAATGATATGGCTGATCTGTATATAGACATACTTTTTTTTTCCAAAGGCCTTCCTGTAATACCAGACATCCTTCTTCTCCTCTGGTGGCAATGGTCCACAGTCCTTACTGCTGCATTGAACTGGGCTTACATGTGAGCACCAGTAATTCTCTAATTATGTCCCCCAGGGCTCAGATATGATATTGATATTTTGGGCTCAGATAGAGCTGATGAGCATAAGAAATAAATACTTATTGCCTATGCTTCTCAGCTCCATATTATGGCCATCGTGTAATATTACAACACACTTCATTCAAACTGGGAGAAGCTCCAACTAGTGGCCATAATATAATATTACAACACACTATATCCAAACTGGGAAAAAAATATTTAAAGAACATTCATATTTTGCATTATTCACCCAAAAAGAACATTCACAGATATTCGGCGGCGGCCAAGAGTTCTTGTTGTTTATAAATAGACCCCTTTAAGTCAAAACGTATTCAACCATCACATCTAAGGACTGTTAAGCTGCAAAATATTACATTTGTGTTCTTGGATTTAGTTACACTTTCAATTGAACAGGGTCCAATAGATGAACTGCCTGTGGCTCAAAGCACCCAATCAGCTTCTTCTTTTAATTCTCAAAAGGAGGACCTCTTTGCTTGCTGGTGGGCCAGACGGACAGTAGTTGCAAACCCAACAACGCAACTACCATCTGCAGTGCAGTGTATGAAAGGTTCCACGTTAAACTATGTAAAGCAGGTTTACACTGAACAAGTTTCTCTTTGATATTTATATTAAACCTCAGGTGACTGTGCTCCTGGGGACAGCAGTCTCACACTACCTCTCCCTTTGTCTATGGGTTAAATATCAGATTTTTTTTCCTTTTCACATAGCAGCCCAGAACGTTATTGCACAGACCCTCAACGCATATTTTACAACTGTTGCATGCTGCCGAATGTTAATTTGACCCGGGATGCGATTCATTATCTCTCAGTCTATAAATAATCATGCAGGTCACACGCAGAATATGAGCTGAGCCAGAAGGCAGGCACGGCTGCATACATCACTGCATTGATTAAACATGAGCCCGTTATATATGGGAATAGGTGACACTTACCTGCCTCCATCACCTCACACTGCTGTCCGAAGGCGTGCGAGAAGGTGACGGGCCCAGAAGCATCCATGGCTCTCGATGTCATGGGTCTGACGGTCCAAAGCACCACGCACCACTTGTTTTAGCTATGTACGGCTTCCCAACCCTGTCAGCCCTGCTTCCAGACAACAAATATTTATTGAGGGCTCGAGTTTTTTTTTTTTTTTCCCCGGGATCCAGAAAGCTGTTCCAGCAGCTACATCCTCAGATGCAATTACTGAGAAGCAGAGGGAGAGATGCGAAGGGGGGGAATGTCTCCGGCAGCTGCAGCCGATCTTGTAAAACAAATGCAGTTACTACCTAGTAAATGCAATATCTGAATTTATTTTGGACATGTTGGTAAGCTTGGACATCCTCCCAAAGCTCAGGGCTGCTAAAATTTGTCCTACTTAAAATTCCGACAAGACGTTTGGGATCCCTGTATTGTCCGGGTTTTATGACTGCAAGGCTGGTGTGCGAGACTGTGCTGCTTTCAAATGACTCAGTGTTCCCCCTTTGTAACTCCCTGCAGTCGATAAGGAAAATACATTTGCTCTTTACAAAATGACTGACGGTTATATTAAAAATGCACAAAGGGCTGTGTTAGTCTGCAGTATAGAACTTGAGTTGACCTTGCAGAACGATGGAGGCAGTGGAATGCTGTTATCCGTAGCAGCCAATCAGAGAACAGCTTTAAGACGTTATCTGCATGCAACTTAATGAAAGCTGATTTCTGATTGGCTACTTTGCATTACTGATGTTTTTGTGATAATGGTAAAGTGCACCTGTAGTTTTTCAAACAGTATGCTGCACAGCAGGATGGTAGGGAGGGTAAGCACTGTTTTTTTTCCTCAATACTTTTTGCACTATAGGAAGGTTGTATCAAGCTCAACTGTAAGCAAAACACATAAGTAATCAAATTAAAAACAACTTGCATTCTGATAACCCTCAAGCTGAAATTGATTCAGATTAGGGATGAGCTCAGGTTCGGTCCACATAGCCATATTAGGTAAATTACATTTCCCAAATATAGGCATGTAGCCATATAAGGTCAATGATGTCACTGCATAATGCCCCTTTGCTTACATCAAGCTGTGGGCAGGGAATCCTCCATCCACAGCTGATTGGGTGGTTTCCTTCCATGTTTGGGAGGGGCTCCTTCTGGGTTCAGAGGAGCTCAGGTTCCGACCCGGTTCAGTCTAAATCTAAGCTCATCCTTAATTCAAAGTAAGGCAAAATACACTTATAAGGCATGTTTCAATTTTCTCCTATCTTCTTGATCCCCTAAAGCAGGGGTAGTGAATAAAAATACAAGGAGGTTCCGTAAGTAAAATTTTCTTCGAGCAGAGTTCCGAATTGCGGTCCGCTATTTAGGCTGTAATCACACAAGCAGCTGCACTACAACGCACAGCTGCTGGTGTGTGTTCCCAGGCACAGTGCTGATACGCCAATCCTAGCACATTGCACTGTTTACATGCCTATTTTTTTTTCTTCTTAGAACTCTTCCCCATGCATGCCTTACGTGCGCATGTTCATTTTAATCAGATGGCCAGGGTGAAGGGGGAGAGAGGTGACCAGTCACACCCACAGGACCAAGGCTCGGGTGAACAGATCATTTTTTATTTTAGACCCTAGACCCAAACAAGCATTTAACCCTTGCAGTATGGGCATAGCCCCACTACAAAGGTTCAGCAATTTTTTTCTCCTCTTAGCTTCCCCCCATTAATTAAGTCTTCTTTCTCAATTGTCTTTATTAGCCAGAAGACCCCTCCTCTATGTGCCTGTGTGAAACTTTTATCAAGTTGGTTTTGGGGCCGGATTTTTCAACTAGGCACATTGACTGCAATCCCCCAAGCAATAATAGTGCCTCCGTGTCCAAGAAGGGCTCTCTTATTGGATAGAGGGAACAGTCGTTGGTGGGGCTAAGCCCAGAAGTCAGGCCCCAAAAACTAATTATAACAGACATGCACGGATGACGGTTAGGCCTCATTCACACAGAACGCAAGCAAAATTGTATATTGCGTATATACGCGTCTATGTGCGTATATACGAGCGTCTATGCGCGTATGCGTGCACTATATGCAATCCCAGAATGCATCACTCGTAAATGGAATTTTTAATGTGCTGTACGCATGTATATGCGCGTAAACACGCGTATATGTGCGTAAATACGCAAAAATACGCTGCCCGGACGCATCTCTGTTCCATTCTGTATGTGCGCATATATACGCTACGCAAATATACGGCTCCATACGCGGCTGTGTGTATGGAGCCATTTATTTGCATATGTTGCATATGGTACAGTACGCACGTACGCGTTAAAACCAGTAATAGTAGGCAACTTGTGGTGTCTTTGTGGTGTTACTAAAAATTAATTTTTACCACAATGCAGGAGTCTATTAAAAAATTGTTTGTCCAGTGTGTCAAATATACTGGTCTCCCCATATTCATTATTCTTTTAATTATTATTATTATTATATGATCACCTTAACCATGATCTAAAAATCATATAATACTTTTTAGCAGGGAATGTTGTGAAAATTATTTCAAGGGTTCTCCTGGAGGAAAAAGGTTGAGAAAGGCTGAGTTAGATCATTCAAGATTGATTTGTGTTCTACTCTCTAGCCCATCTGTATAAGCAGAAACATGGATGCTTAGGCAAGCATTCATCTTCATGACAACAGACAGATTGTGCTTCCATGTCTGAGCAGGAATACAAGCACCTTAAAGCTTCTAAGGGCTAAACTGTCATTTATAACATGGTAGTAGTCAACTAGTGTGGCGATACACAAAACTAGAGTACACCTTAAAGTGACCTTGCTGCTTCCTTCGGAAAATACAGCCAGCTGCTGCTCCCTGCAGAATATTTACCTCTCTGGGATGCAGGATGTAAAATTGTACCTGTCTTCATTAGCTCTGGATGTGTTGGATAGCATTTCTCCCATGGGTACTGTGGTACCTCCTGCTAGCCTCTACATCAAAACAGGACATTGCAGCTGACAGGTTGTACCATGATGCCCAGCGTGGGACATGATGTCCAACACCTCCAAAAGAGCCATAGAGCAGTGGCAGCCAGAGCTGATAAAGACGGCAGAGCAGGGCCGTCTTTAAGGGCCCTGCTGTTGCCCGAGACCCAGTCATTGTTGTGGGGCCCAAAGCAGCTGCCCCTTGAGCCCGCAGAAACTTGCCGATCGCATGGTAAAATACGTTATGGCATAGGGCACTGCCATAACGTATTTTTCTATGCGAACGGCGCCATCGCATAGTACAGTCTGTACTACATTTCCGTGTGGCTCCTCCCCTTCCCGCAAGGTCTCACGCAAGCTCACAGGTGGGTGTCCCGTGGCGATATCGCCGTTCCTTCCGGCTGCCTCACACAAGTCTATGAGTGTCAGACGTGAAATCCGGAAAGCTCTGACTGAGGCAGAGACTGGCACAAGACTGAGGCAGGTGAGAGCTGGGCACTTTGTGGCACTGGCAGGCCAGGCAGTAATAATTAAATAATTAACCAGCTTGGGCAAGGGCAATAATTTATAAATAGTATATTTTTTAAAAATAATATAATAGGACTGTGGAGGATGTGGTTGCATTTTCTGATGCCTGCAGCTGCTGAGCTACCCGCTACACCACCAGGGCAAATGAACAGCAAATAATTGTACATTAATTCATTAAATGTAAATAAATATATACATTAATTTACTGCTGGGCTAATAATTAAAAAAAATATATAGAATAAATAAAAAAGTATTCAGCTTCTTGTATTGCAAGGAACAGCTGGCTGCATATAACAGAAGTGATAGTTTGCTTTGGAAAACCATAAAACCATGTTACTGAAAAGACCAAGGCCCTCTGCCCTAAATACCCCTTGTATATTATAGAATGCAGAATAGTAGTTGGGGTTTTCTCTGCTCTTCAGCCTGCGAAGGGATGTGTTGTAACTTCAAACACCTGGCCAGTTGAAATGAATGTTGCATATGCTACTCGTGTCCATGGACCAGAGATAAGCAAACATCCATCAACCTCTGGGAGCCATACCTGTGGCTGTCAGAGTCTTGCAATGCCTAATGGGATTCGTAGTTGCACTACACCTGGAGGGCCGGAGTTTGCCTACTCCTGCCATAGACTATAGCAAGCACCCACCACTTCCTACAATGCTGAGGATAACAAAACATCTCTGTGGTCTGCTACAACAAATGTGGCAAATCAGCCCTCCAAATTATAAAAATAAAGAAAGAAAGAAACAAGTGAACGGAAAAAAATCAATCAAGTTTATAAGAACGGCCGTACTGTTCTAAGTTTCTGGGCTGTTAATGAAATGTGTGTTTTTGCTACAATGCGGCACATTCTAGTCATTTTTTAAAGCTCATCCGCATGCAAAGAACTGGTGAGCCAGGGAGGCTGCATGTACCATACTGTGAAAAAAAATTGCTGCCTGTAAAATAGGATATTAAACATTCCTCTGTTTTCTATTTCAGCAGATGTCTGTGCAAGGGGTTGGCTTTTTGCCTGGAGATGCAAGTCACTATATTTATACTTCCATTCTGAATTACATAGAAATAGCCAGTGTAACAGTCCTGGGTGGAATGTGTTTTATCGATTGCTCTCATTTTAATAAAAAGTTAAATTATTGCAGATCAGGAACCACAAACTTTGCTTTTATTATGAAATCTGAGTATTGACCCAATGACCAGGGTGAGGGAAATTGGATCTTATGCATTATAGCTGGCTATTCTTAGATGTTTTTCCATTCTCAAAGGACAATTCCATCTTCCTGCAACATCCTCCTGACGAATTTGAACTTGTAAGGCAAGGCAATGGAACAATCAACGTTGTAAATAGTATTTATGACCGATTTTGTTTCCATTTGCCTATGATGGCTTTTGAAGTCTCTTTGCACCCCATGGGAAATGTTTACATATTGCTTGCCGCTCAGTGGTATGTTGAGTGTTTGTAAAGATCCCAATGTATGTGAGAGAGATTCCGACAGCTGCAAACCAAACCTTTCTTGCTATCAACAACATGTTTTCCTATCAGATATATTTAAAGCCAAACTCCAGGCAAAAAATTTAAAGTGACATTAAACCCTCAGATTTTTTAACATAAACCAATACTGTAATGTGTGCCTTACTGTAATCCATGGTTGTTTCCCTTCTCTTTGCTGCTCTTCCTTTTAAATCCTCATGTCTTCTCATGCTTGGGGAGAACTTCCCTTTGCAGCTGAGTGCCTCTTCCTGTAGTGCTGGCTCAGGTTGTGAACCTTCACACAGACACCATGTATCCATTCCAGAGACAAGGCAGTCTGCTGCAAAACAGAAGTTCTGCCTAGCATGAGAACAGATACAGATTTAAAAGGAAGAGCAGCAAAGAGAAGGGAAACCACCA